GACTTATTTGTGGCTCCTCGTCGGGGTTTTTAACCCTCAGTTTGGAGCCCTCCTCGTCGGGGTTTTTAACCCTCAGTTTGGAGTCTTCGATGCTCTTATTGAAGTCTTATTTGTGTGCTTCGTTGAGACTTATTTGTGGCTCCTCGTCGGGGTTTTTAACCCCAGTTTGGAGCCCTCCTCGTCGGGGTTTTTAACCCTCAGTTTGGAGTCTTCGATGCTCTTATTGAAGTCTTATTTGTGTGCTTCGTTGAGACTTATTTGTGGCTCCTCGTCGGGGTTTTTAACCCTCAGTTTGGAGCCCTCCTCGTCGGGGTTTTTAACCCTCAGTTTGGAGTCTTCGATGCTCTTATTGAAGTCTTATTTGTGTGCTTCGTTGAGACTTATTTGTGGCTCCTCGTCGAGGTTTTTAACCCTCAGTTTGGAGCCCTCCTCGTCGGGGTTTTTAACCCTCAGTTTGGAGTCTTCGAGGCAATGTGCCCTCTCCCTTAGCGCCATTAACGCTCATGAGAGTAAAATATTTCAATATTTGATAGTGAAAAAGGGGTAGAGTACTTAGCTTTCTATTGGCGAAGCGGCGCGAAGAGTTGTTAAAAGGCAGATGCTGCGCCCTTGAAGCAGAAGCTTGTATGTAGCCTACTGGTAATAGCGCTTGTGAGGTGGAGCGATGGCACGGGTTCGAGTCCTCGCGATGATGATATTTTTTGACGCGAGTTGGTGATGGCGCGAGTAAGATGTGATAAGCTTGAGGACGCGGGTTGAGTCGGGATGGGCCGTGAGCTGAGCCGCCGAGCGGAAGTGGGCGGCGAATAGTGAAGGCGGGCTAAGTTGAGTTGGGCCGCGAGTGCGCTTGGGCGCGAGCAAGGGTGCATTGCGCTTGTGGACGCGGGTTGAGTCGGGATGGGCCGCGAGCTGAGCCGCCGGGCGAAAGTGGGCCGCGAATAGAGAAGGCGGGCTAAGTTGAGTTGCGGGCTTGAATGCAATCGGTTTTAAGTTGGCCCCGCCCCATTGAAACACAAGGCGCATATGTAGCCTGCTGGTCACCTCGCTTGTCTGGCGGAACTGTGGCACGGGTTCGAGTCCTCGCGGCGACAATAATATTTTTGGCGCGAGTGGAGCGCTGATGGATCGCCTGTTGGGCCAGAAGCGGCGCGGGCCGCCGCGAGTTGGGATTCGGGCTGCGGTTTGGTGGGCCCATGTCGTCTGTTGCGGGCGGTTGGAGTTGATCCGCGCGTTGGGGGCACGCGGGCTCGTTGTGCGGGCCATGCCCCAAAGTTTGAGGCGGAGCGGGACGCTTGGTTGATGTTGGGCCGCGACTTTGACGGGCGGGGAGGTGGACTGGGCCCACGTAGAAAAATTGCTCGACGCGGCGAGCTGTTAAAAAGAGGGCACTGCAACTTGATCACTGGCCCATGTTGTGGTGGGCATCCTCGATTTGTAGCGCTGTGACGCGAGCTCAATCCGCGCGGTAGCATATATATATATATATATATATATGGGTCAGACTCGTATGCTCCAGACACATAGCATGTGTCAGGTTCTCCACACCGTTGATCTAATCTAACGGCGTTGATTAATTCTAATTAAGTTATTTATTTTTTACAATATACAAATAATTAATTGATTACGTTACTTTTTTAAACGTCCTCTTTAGTCCATATACAAACTTTTTCATACCTTTTTAAATTGGCTAAATTACACGTTTGGTCACTCAAATTATACAAATCTTTCATGTTTGCCACTCGAATTACTTTTCTTTCTTATTCGCCACTAACTTTACAAATCGTTTCACCGTTAGTCACCGGCCGTTACACTCCGTTAAGTTTTTCCTACGTGGCAGTCAACTATAAAGTTTGACTGTTAACTAAATGACATGGAAATTAAAATAAATTAAAAAATAAATTTTATTTTCCACCTCATCATTTCTCTTGCTTTGGCTATATGATTTATCATATTAATTATTTAATAAAAATTAATTAAATTATAAAATTAATTATTTGCGGTAGGAAGAAATTACAGGGCATCAGCTATCTCACACATCTGAGCATTTGAAATGGCGGATATGCTCCCAAAGCACATGTACAGAACTGAATTGGGTTCTCTACCATCCACCCATCTCAAATGGTCATGTTCATCGATGGCGGCGGCGGCGGCAGCGGGAACAACATCTCCTCAATCACTCCGTTTTTTCCTTATTATCATGCATCCTTGTTGCTAAAAATCATGCCTTTTTTCCCATTACCTTCCTGTAATACTCAAAAGTAACCTGGATCAAGCTCATGGAAGCTATTCCTACGACACCAAAGTTGTTGACCTTCGATTCCTCCATCTGCTCGCAGTTCTCTAATCCTGCTATCAGATTAATTCATCGCTTTCAGTAAAGGCGGGAGTTGTATCTTGGTCAATTGGATTTCGTGCAGCAGGCCAGGGAATCTGATTCTGAACCCTTTCTTCTCCCTGGCCTGCTGCACGAAATCCAATTGACCAAGATACAACTCCCGCCTTCTCCCTGGCCTGCTGCACGAAATCCAATTGACCAAGATACAACTCCCGCCTTCTCCCTGGCCTGCTGCACGAAATCCAATTGACCAAGATACAACTCCCGCCTTTGCTGAAAGCGATGAATTAATCTGATAGCAGGATTAGAGAACTGCGAGCAGATGGAGGAATCGAAGGTCAACAACTTTGGTGTCGTAGGAATAGCTTCCATGAGCTTGATCCAGGTTACTTTTGAGTATTACAGGAAGGTAATGGGAAGAAAGGCATGATTTTTAGCAACAAGGATGCATGATAATAAGGAAAAAACGGAGTGATTGAGGAGATGTTGTTCCCGCTGCCGCCGCCGCCGCCATCGATGAACATGACCATTTGAGATGGGTGGATGGTAGAGAACCCAATTCAGTTCTGTACATGTGCTTTGGGAGCATATCCGCCATTTCAAATGCTCAGATGTGTGAGATAGCTGATGCCCTGTAATTTCTTCCTACCGCAAATAATTAATTTTATAATTTAATCAATTTTTATTAAATAATTAATATGATAAATCATATAGCCAAAGCAAGAGAAATGATGAGGTGGAAAATAAAATTTATTTTTTAATTTATTTTAATTTCCACGTCATTTGGTTAACAGTCAAACTTTATAGTTGACTGCCACGTAGGAAAAACTTAACGGAGTGTAACGGCCGGTGACTAACGGTGAAACGATTTGTAAAGTTAGTGGCGAATAAGAAAGAATAGTAATTCGAGTGGCAAACATGAAAGATTTGTATAATTTGAGTGACCAAACGTGTAATTTAGCCTTTTTAAATTCATGTACCTAATTTTCTATTAATCATCACTTGAATACCCCATTTTTGTAATTGTGTCTCCATCAAGTTACTTAATATTTTCCCAGCCGTCGTTTCAACTCCAAATCCCCTTTTCCTCTTTAGTCCATAACTCCATATACAAACTTTATTTCTTATGCAACTTAGAAACAGAGCATGCCACAAATGAGAGAAACAGAGCACACGCAATGAACGAAGCATGCATACTGAAAATTGAACGTAAAGGAAATGGGTTGCTTTATGAAGCTATTAGTGAGACACAGAACGTTTCTCTAATTCTTCTTCCTTCTATGTGGGTTTCAAAACCACTGTACGTTATGAGTCTGCAGCTATTGTTGCCGTTTTGAATTGCGGGCAGCTTGGTATAGTGTTTCTATGTACCAAAACAACGTTAGCGTTTGAAACTAAGCAATTAACGACTTCCATATTCTTCAACCTTCCCTCAATATTAATACGTAGTCGCCCCAACTGCTGGTTGAGATTTCCGATTAAACAGAAACGACGGAGCGGGAGTGGGACCGTCTTGCCGGAAGCTGCAGCGGGATCATTAAAGATGACAGGAGGAAAGGAACCGTTATCGCCATGTATGCGGGCGGGTACTCCGGAAGCACCTCTTCTCTGGCCGCTGCCACCGTGACATCGTCCTCGTCATCTCCAAAGTTCACGATTGCTGGGTCAAAAAGTACCTCTAATTCCGCATGTCGCTCGAGTTCTTCCCCATTGGCTGTCCCACACTACCTCTAATTCCCACTCGCCCCTCACTCTAGCCGCCGCCGGCGACAACAGCGGCAAGAAAAATCTAAAACCACCGCCTGCAAGAACAATCATCACCGGCTGCCTCCTTCAACGACAAGCATTGCTCTATGCGAAGATGAACTGAATGGAAGGATGAGTTTGTTGATTGATGGGGAATTGGCTGCCGATCTGTGTGCTTATCCGGATCTGGAATCGTAGTAGTCATATCTCTGGCGGAGTTCCGTGATGTGGAGATGGATACTTAGGCGAACAACGGCGAGAGGGATTTAATCTCACATCTGATTTTAATGAACCAATTTTGTTCTCTTTTAATTTATGATTATGTTCTAGGTGGCGTCTAGGTTTTTGGGGGTTTTGATGATGAGGATGTTGGGGATGTCTACTCGTATGACGATGGTGTGTCAAACTTTAGGCTTCAGTTTTATTTACTAAATGATACAAAAATTGGATCTTTAGCGCACAAGTAAGAGAAATAAGGTATTACATAATGATAAAAAATTGTTGGGGATTGTAGTGGACGTATAATTATTTATGTGGTGGGATTAGTAATGTAATTATTCATAAGAAATTAGTTAATTATAAATAATAATAGCCATTAGATTAGATCAACGGTGTGGAGGACCTGACACATGCTATGGTGAGTACTGGTGTACGTCAGGCGTATAGTATACGCCAGATGCCTGACACCGTTGATCTAATCTGACGGTCATTAGTAATAATGATTTAATTAATTATTAATTAGCAAATATAATTACTAACAACACCCATTACTATTTTATACATACGATATAGTCCTCGAACAAATTTTACCATTGCTTTTCATATTATAGTACCTTATTTTTTAACTCATTGTTTCGAACACCCAAACTTTGTATCACTACTGATTAATTCTCCATCGACAATTTGGGTGATTGTTTATACTCGATGCAAATTTGGACTCCTTCAAAAAAAAAAAAAATGCAAATTTGGACGATTTTACTTCTGTCCACAATTAACCTGTATCCCAAATAAGACCCACCGCCGAAACCCAGCAAACTATGCAATCAGAGGATTGCCGCCGCAACCCACTGCCATCCCAAAAACCCTCCGCCACCAGACCAGAAACAAGCCGCCGAAACCCACTCCCCGTTTGCTGCCGTGACCCATTCCCTTTGCCCAAATCTAGCTCTTGGCGGCTTCTTCTTCTTGTCGTTCTCTCGCTTCTTTGACAAACGCAATCCTAGCTGCCTCAATCCCTTCCTAGCGGCAGGCTGCGTTTTCACTCTGCTTCTTTCTCTTTGAAACACACAAGGAAACAGCGCTGGGGAAGGTGAGATACACTGCGGCCGCTGAATCAGGGATGCTGGCACCGCCCTTAGCCTCACTCTCGCCATCTCCGCGCTCCTCCTCGTCTCTTCTTCTCGGCGGTGAACGGAGGAAAAGTTGGGAAGATCGACTACACCGAGATTGCAGGATGATGGGGGGATCATACGTAAAGACCCGGATCGGCGAAGCGACGCCCGTCGATGATTCAAACACGGTGAAGGTGTGTTTTTTCGTAAATTGAGTTTCTACCTTGTTGATGCTTGCTAATAATCGATTTTGGAAATTTTATGGAAGATGACAAATGGACGGAGGCGAGTTTCCTGTTAGTGTTGTTCTGATGGCCACCCTTTGTCTCTTGAAGAGGTTTTAGTAGGGCCGGCTGATTAGAAGTTTAGAACCATTATGCACTTAAACAATTATAGCTAAACATGCCAGCGCAGCTATATGTAGTTGTGTCGGCATAGATTGAATAAAATTTGGTTGCAAAAGAGACAGTTGCAAGCAAGCAATGCAGAATTGCATCAGCTACGTACTGATGGTTTACCAATGTCAGATTCTGCTTGGTGAGTTGGGAGCCTGAAACATTTTAGTTCCCCCTTTGATAAGAAACCAGTTACCTTGTTGATAACGTGGAGTCTCATTCTCAGGTGATGAGAGATGGGAAGATTGTGCAATCTGGGAAGTACGACGAGCTGCTGGGATTAGGGACGGATATTGAGACACTGGTAGCTGCTCATGACACTGCCATGGAACTCGTGGAAGCTGGTAACAATAACTCACATGGTAGTGAAGAAAATGGCCCCAAATCGCCAGGAGGAGCCCCTTTCAGCCCTGGAAGAGAAGCAGCAAACGGCAGTAGCGACAACAAGGTATCGTCATCAGAACAACACTAACATTTCCATTTCCAAACATTCGGTTGCCTATGAGAGGATTTGGAGTTAGTGAACGCGTTTCAGTTTTCGTATCTGTATGCGCGCAACTAAAATGCTATTGCTAAATCACATACGTGGGTCTAGATTAGTTTCAAAGTTCGTTATATCAGTTTTCTTTGGAATTCGCATAACCATGATTTTGTATGTTTGATTCTATGATTCGGGTGAGTCCTAAACAATCGTTTGACTGTGACCTTATTAGTAACATATCTGAGCTGTTTGAGGAGAGTTGATTTGAAGAGATGTTTAAACTGGTGTTTTGTTTTATGCGTAAGAAAGTTGCTGGTTTTCATCGGTGTTAGAAATTAAAACCCAAACCTATTATGCTAGCTCTTGAATGCATGCATCCCATTTGATACAATAGATCTAATTCAAACAAGTACTACTATAATGTTGCCATACTTAAGAGAGTTTAATTTTGTTGTAGTTTCTGTTGATGTATGTTGCCGTTTTACTTGGGGGGCATCTGCTGGCTACAAAATTATCTGCAAAGGGATTCTAGACGACCTTGATCACTGGTTCTACAGCCTTAACTATGATTTATCAAGTGACCATGGAATGTAAACCTTGTGATTTGATCTTAGTTTTCTTCTTCCCGTTTTGATGTGTGGTCCTACTTGCTCGTTGTGATTGAATATGGAAAAATAGGATTGGCAATGCTGGCCACCTGTGTAACTTTCTTAGTTGTAGTACATTCTGTGTAACTTACTTTGTCTTCTCTCTTCTCGGCTCCTTGGGTTGTGATCCTTCCCCTGAAATTATCCCTTTCTTCCAACAGAACTCATTACTCAACTGACCCTTCATCCCTCCACTACCTTCTTCCTATTCTCTGTACATAAAATACATGATTTGACCGTGAACTTCCCACTCTCATTTCATGTCCAGCACATGTTATGTAGAGAATTTGAGGGTCAATGACAAAAATTGCTTGCTATTCTTCTTTTGTAAATATCAGCTCCAGTAAGTCTCTTCTCCAAACTCTTGCTTGGCTTTCTGTTGACTACTTATGCAATTGAGCATTGAATGATAACTAAATACTGTGGACATGTAGCTGCAGATCTACTATCTCAGGTGCGTGGTTTTCCCTTCAGGATCTTCCACTATTGAGGGACAGGGCGTAATGGCATTGGTAGTATTATGTAGGAGTGAACGCGAACGATATTTTGATGTGGTGTGATGTTCAGGCTGAGCATAGCCCTGATAGTTAGGTTATGGCTGCAGTTGTTGTGTCGGGGATGGCTTCAACATGAAAGCTATTGAAGAGGAAACAGTAGGCAGTGCCAAGGACTTATCAGAGGAGACTATGCGTATATGTCTCTTAAGATTTGAGCCACGATGAGATCGTATGTGCGAGTGTTCTCATTTGTAGATTCCATTATAGACTTGTTGGTTAGAGACAATCAAGCATATGCAACCCTTGATTGCACCACAACTCAGTTTGTTTCGTTGTAACGATTTAGAATACTGGTTTGGTGTCGTTTAATTAATGTTGAGAACAGGTTTCCTTAATTTGATTTGAGGTATCTTAAATCTTAGCCCTCTTTGCGTCTGCAGATGTTTAATTCCTAAGATTAGTATGTGGTGGCAGCCAAGCTCATACGGGAGCTACCGTAAGCCGGAACCTAAACTGCCCTGATGCAACTTCAATTATAGCAACTTGCATCTATAATATTTTTCCTATGTAATATCCTTTATTCAATAAAATGGTCTCATCCTATAAAAACTAAAAATCTCGCGATAACTGAAATTTCCAACGTGTCCAATGATACTATGCACTGGGGATCGGGGTTGATAATAAGTAATGGAGGTTTATAGTGAAATAATGTGGCACATTTGTTCGCTAATTTCTTTCCTAACTCTCGGTGTGTTTTGTTTGATCGGGATGATATTTCTCAAACCGTGTCTCTCTCTCTCTCTTTGGTCTTTTAACGAGAGCTTAAGCAGTTGATTCCTCAAAGAAAAGAAGAAAAAAAAACTTCAGCATTCGAACCCTGCATGCCATGACTGAAAACTGAATCACGGGCTAGCACCTTGGCAACTTAGGCTATGTAGTTGATTTGATAAATGTGACATTTTTATAGTTCACATACTTAATAGTTAATAAGAGAATCACGAGTTAATAAAACAAGATATCCCGTTCTTCAAAAAAGGTATGTAGCATTAATTGTTATGTACAAAGGTGTTGTTTCCTGTCAGTACGCTAAACTTCTTATTTCAGTCGTCAAACTATGTGACAATAAGTTGTTTAATTTCATCCTCTTTAAGAAATTTAACTAAATAATAAGTCGTATTTGTTCATCCACGTTGAAGGGTAGCTTATGTAAATTTGATATTAGTAAGAGATTAGGTTTTTATGGGTGTAGGGGGAAAATCGATGAATCATTGCCGATGGATTGTGATCCATTGATGAAACCATTGCGTGCAAAAGGGGAGAAGCAAACGGTTCGTAACAATTAAATATAGGTAGAAGTACAAGAGATTTGATACTAACGTGTTTGGTAAGTAGGCAGACTACATGTACATCCATCAAGAAAAGGTAATGGTGTAGGACAAGGAAGTGTAACCTGAAACATGAAGTATGGTCATATAATCAAACAAACTTAATACAAGAATCGCATATTAATAGAGCATGAAACCAATACGAGGTTGTAAATATAACTAGTATCCCTACGTACTACGTAACTCTTAGTACTCTTAGTAGTAATGACTATGTGGTACATTAAGCGTTTAATTTCTAGTTTATACATAAATTTACTTAAACTACTCCATGGCGAAAGATAGTGTTAATAAATTTTAAAAAAATAATCTATTACGTAGTGATGGGTACATCAAGTAAAATGCGATTTATTTTTAGATAAGTCATGGGGGACATTCGGTGAGCAAATTAAGTAATCATTACGTAACAATGGGGCCAACACATATGGTTCAAAGGAATTAAAAAGCCATTGAATTATAATCACTCTGATCCCAATATTTGTACTACGTAGGCAGCCTACGAGTACAAGTTTATCAAGAAAAGTAATAGGGGACAACGAAGAAGCTGACCAAAAATCTTGAGTTTTTTAATAAATGGATATTGTCCCGTAAAAGATCCGAACATGTAGTGTGGTTGTTGGATGAGTTGCGTGTGGAGAGCTATCAGAGACGAAGCTAGCTTGTTATTATAGGGGCCATGTCCCCTAAATAATTAAATATGTTTGTGCACTAACATAGACATGTATTACTGCAGTCCATTGAGAAATGAATAAGGGTGTCACGTGTCGAGGGAGGCTAATGGTGCGGCACACATCATGGCTCACATAGAGACTCGTGTTGACGCGAGAGTTGTGTGGTTGGATAGCCCGCCAGTTTATTTAGTTGATAAGTTGAAACTAGATGATGTTCCATTGATTTCTAATTAATACAATTTTTTTATGAATATTAATATAAATTTTCAGGTTCACATAAAAAATAGAAAAAAGAGATGATATATATAATTTTATTAAAGGCCAATATTATATTCCAAATTAATTTATGTTTTGATATTTTCAAACTTAATTAAGTTGGTTTCTCGAACAAGTTTGGGAGCCAGCCCATCGCGGTTTGCACCCAGGTCAAGGACTACTTCCCCTCCGTGGTTCCATCACTTGTGTTTGCACTGAATTTAGTTATGCAGCTTGTTTGTTGAGTTTTGACTACCATGATTTTAGATTTTTAAGTGGTGTACAAAGTGCTGGATCATGCCATTTTTCATTCTAGCCATGGCAGATTGATACCTTCTAAGCTTCAGGTAAGTATGTTCGCCATCTAAATCCGTGGAAGGAAGTATGTAGTACCTTCTATTTGTTAATCATGATCTACGTGGAGGTTGTTTTCTTTTTATATGTGAATGGTGATAATGTGCTGCCATAGAGGTGGAAACATTTTGTTTCTTGACTCAGATGTCTTACTGCTTAGCTGGTGCACTATCTCCAGTGTTTCTTCCTGTCTCTAGCTGTCTTTCTAATCTGAATTGTACTGCATCCTAGAGCACATGGTAATTACCATTCTGTCTCTTCATTTATCTTAAGCATATGTCTTTCTGCTCTTACTTTGCCTGCATCGACCCACTTAAGCAAAGTAGGGTTGTGATTTTCGTTTAATAATTGTTTAAATAATGGCAAAGGTCATTGCTTATTGAGGATGGAATTTACAGAACTGTTCAAATAATGTTGTTTTTATAAATTGCAGCAGACAAGTCTGGACCCAAAAACACCAATGAAACAATGGAAGAGTCAGGGGACAAAGAAAAGGGAAACATAGTCTCTGAAGATCACTGATGTTGGGTTGTAAGGGAGGAATTTGTGCAGATGATTTCCACCCCTAGTGAGTCCAGTTTTATCACAACTTGGATGTCCCACCAAGCATGTGTAGGAGTAACTTACAATGTTCATGACACGTGAGACTCATCAGCTTAAACTATTCACATCCATGTAACTTACGGAGTTACAGTTGCTTACCTTTCTGTGTTTGAGTTATTGGTAGTTGCGGGCTAGGAAATTTGTTTTTATGTTTCGACTTTTGGTTTGGATTTAGCAATCCATTTGGTTTCCTATTTCTTACCCAACTTCGCATTATTTTCCTCTTACTTGAGCAGTCAGAAACCAAATGGGTTCTTTTTCGAAAATTAGGATTTGGGTATTCTTGGTTTGTCTACTTTTGTACTCTTAGTTGGTATTCAATTTGTATTTTTCCTCTTGTGTACTCAAATCATTATTGTGTTTTCGTTTCTTGCTTTGACAATTCTATGTACCTTGTGTACTACTTTAGTTTCACTTTCCAGATCTGTTGCCTCTATATGCTCTTGCTTATTGCTAAGTCTAATTTTATTGCTTCTGGTATGTGAGCCAGTGATGACAACATGTCGGAGGAGAATCACAACGGGAGAGCACTTGCAGCCTCTGCTATTTTGTCTCAATTTCCAGGAAAGTTTCCTTTTTAGTTTTTAATTTTCTTCATTTTCATTAGTACTCTGTGGTTAAGTTGCAATGTTAGTGTTGATTTGCTTCTCATGAATTCGTAAATTATATATGATGCCTTTGTTAATTGTGAAATGTTGATGCCATAACCAAGGACCCAATAATGTGAAATGTTTTACCAGTTGCCTTTACTTGCATGCCATTTTTTGTCATCAAATCACATTCTTGTTGCAATTAATTGTACCATCTTTTGCATATGTTGCAATTATCAGGGAAATGGTCATATTCACTGCCTGATAACGAGGGAAATTATAGCTTCAATTTTCCCGTTGTAGCACCCTTTGAGTCTTTGTAAGCGTGTCGGCTCTTGGATCGAAATGATTAATTGGTTCAATGTTGTTGCCTCTTTTTGTTAGCTGGTTCTTGCATTCATGATTAGGATGTAAAGCTGTAAATCTATATTAAGCTGTAAATTTATAAATACTTAGAACTAATACTGAGTGATATGGACTGGTCACTGCGAATGGGTAGGATGTAAAGCTGTAAATCTATATGTTGCTTGGAGGCGAGAATTGTGCTAGATCTCTGTTTTCATTGCCTCAAGGTTTGGTGTACGTCTAACAGTTGCACAAGTATGGTTTTGTATATTTATTTTCTTCCACAGGCGGGGAATAGGGGATAATTAGGAATTGTTGCATTTGAGTAACATTGAACCTCAAATTGTTCTTATGATTTAATGATTTAATTTATCCGTTTGAGGTACAACTCCAGCAGCTCCAGTGTGGAAGGTTACGATGATGAGAAGGCTGCTATCGATAGTGCGGTTTTCCTTCCCTTTGCTCTTCTCTCCATTCACCTAGCTCAATGTGACGAGCATTATGTTTTACTTTTACTTCCCTTTCTTTCCTTTTTTGTTAACTATATTGTTAGGTCCATATTGAGATTATGAGTTTGTTGCTTTTGTTCACGGTCGTCCATGGCGAATTTTTCAGGTAGCCATATGCAACACCATAATAGAGATGCTACTAATGCAAGTAGCAAAACTCCTCCTTCCAACAGAAACTGTGTGTCCAACAACAAATCGTCGGAGGAGGGGCCGATGCTCGAGGATAGCCTATCTAGGTGAGTTTCGTCTCTCAAAATATTCTACCTATCCATGGTTCGGTTGGTCTGTAACAGACTGAGCTACCAGAATCTAACATATTTTTCCTGTTTTTTAGCCTCAGGGAGAGCCAGTTTCAATTATGCAATTTTGGTTCTGTGAATATATATATGGGAGTTGAGCAAGTTTTATGCAGAATGGTTGATCGACCTGATCAATTTCTTGCATACCATCTTGAATTTAATAGCTTATACTGTGATTGATGTTTCTGGTCAGTGTTCGTTCACATTTGGGATCTTTAGTGTGTGAGAACCTTAGAAGTCCTTTATGGTCGATTATTTGAACAGTATGTAGTTGTAATTCTCAGTGTTAGTACACATATATAGAGTGCAAGCTGCTGCTCCATTTCTGTGAACATGTGTCGGTTTATGACTTTTGACAACTATGTGGTTAAGTTCTCCTATCTTATTACTTGGAGTTTCTATTTCATTAGTTCTAATTATGTGTTTTCTATTAGGATTAGTAATGCGTGTATGGAGTGCGCAAAAAAAAAAGGACCATAAACACAGGTTTCGTAGCTGCAAGGAACGTTTCTAGGTTCTCATCTTTGAATCTTCTATATTCATGTTGTGTTGTCTATCATTCCTCCTAATATTTCCCGTCGTAGGACCTATCAAGATTCCACAGTTAGAGAAACAAGCAGCCAGAGGGGGGGGGGGCCTAGAATGTGATCAAGAACCTAAACGCTGCAAGAAAGGAAGTCACCAGCTTAACCGGGAGAGGTGACAGAAAAGGATGTTGTGGCCATGTTCAACGACAAGGATTGGTCCATGTTGAATGCTTTTCATACCTTACAATTAGAGGTTGCATTTGTGTTATTTTATATTTCACATTTTCCATGGGATGGATAAGTTTTTCTCATGAATTGAACTTCAGCCCAGACATCACCTTAGGTTTGTTGTGTTCATTTACTTTGCCCACACATGGACTGAAATCGAAATTAACAGTTCGCCTTTAAAAATTCCAAGTATTTTAGATATCACTTCACCTCCAACTTCACACCAGGCCCCTTATTAGCACCTTAAAAACAAACTTAGTTGTTCCATGCACAATGGTGGATTTTGCCTTTCTACGATCTAATGCTATACTGAATTCTCCATAATGTTATGTACGTTGTCTATTTAAGATCGTGAGATGTTAATTTTGCAACCCGCCTTACGCTTCATCTTATATAACTTCCGACCAAAGATGCAAATCCCATTACAGCTGCAGCCATTGCGAAAGTCTACACAGGCTAACTTTGAAAACACAGAACTTCAACAACTCAAAGGGAACTTTCCACGAGACCACTCGCTGCTTCTTCCCCTCATCACCACCATTCGATTTCCCGTCCCCAGTTTCAACAAGACGCGAGTTCTCCTCCACGGAGCATTCCCACCACGAGTGGCTTCGTCACTCATAACCTCCAGAACCCAAAACCAAACCATCACCAACAGAACCAGACCAGAACTTGGTCATATCTTTCTCATTCCCTACCTTATGCTCCATTTCTTCAAAACCCAGTTGGCGACTCTTCACATTCTCCTCTAAACCTGATTCACACTTCGCCTCGCAGCTCAAAAGATCGCTCACCAGCTGCTCAAACTCCATTCCATAAAGTAACTGAAATCACGACGTGATCTTGTATATTGATACATTAGTTAGTCAGTCGAGATACCATTTCGAGGGAAAATCCATAAAATTTTATTTATTCGGTTTATCACAAAGCCACCACCTGCAGGCATCATATCATGATATTCATAATTCACTCATCACCACCATAATTTAGCAACAGCCATCCACGCAGCAAACTCCCCCACATCTGAGATTGGGGACCCTCCCAACAAAATTGCAGCAGCGGCAACCTTCAACAAAGAGACAATGAAACCAAGTTGTGAGCTTATTTTATACCTGCTTGGGGTTGAACCAGATGCTCGAAGCTCTGTTGGCGAGTGGCAGGCATAGCATTAACACCAATGGCGGCCACAATAAGCACCACCATCAGCCAAGTGAAAGCAATGAACAACTTCTTCTCCTTCCTCACCATGATCTCGATAAACATAGGCAATCCACCAAAGGCTTCGAGCTAGATATCAACACTGGTAGCAACCTTACTTGGGTCCAATGTGATGCCCCTTGCACCGGCTGCACCAAGGTAAAATGAATGAAACAACTGAGTGGGTGTTAATAGACTTTCAGCAGTATGAGAAGCATGATGATACTGAGCGGATCCTGTCATTTATAACATCACAGTCAAGAACTTTTAGTCATCCGACCGATCACTAGCAGGATCAGAGCAGAATCCAACTTAATTTTTTGCCTCTGAACTGATTGTCAATAGCAGGATCGATCAAACTCGGATTATCAGACTCAACAGAGCTCTCTAACTCATCAGCTCAAGCAACGACAGACTTATCAAACATCCTATCTTTTCTAATACAGAAGTAATCCAACCTGATAAGCCAGCGGAATCCACCTCGATCTCCTCAAAACTCCTCCGATTCTCCTCCAATACAGGGGACCTAACCACAACAGCCTCGGCGTCGGAATGAACCTCCCACTCCTGAAACTCCAGCGAACCTTCTCCTTCCATGGCTATGTGAGAAAAAGTGTAAATATAACATCCTATCTTTTCCAATAGAGACGTAATCCAACCTGATCAGCCAGCGGAATCAACCTCGATTTCCTCGAAACTCCTCCGATTCTCCTCCAATACAGGGGACCTAACCACAACAGCCTCGACGTCGGAATGAACCTCCCACTCCTGAAACTCCAGCGAACCTTCTCCTTCCATGACTATGTGAGAAAAAGTTTAAATCTATCTATCTCTACCTCTACGAATTGGGAGAAAGAAAGAGAAAAGATTGAGGCTTACCACCCAATTGGATGTTTCGTTTATCTTGTTCCTGTTGTGTTGTGTGGTTCTGGAGTATGTGTTATTCTTCTTGCTCTTTCTGGTTAAGTATTGGCAAATGGGATTGGCATGCTAGATGTTGTTTAACTTTCTCAATCAAGGTTAACAGTGATATTGATGGAATTCATAGTTGCGCAATTGGATTTTTGATTTGTGATTCTGGGAAAAATGAGACGAGAGGAAGAAAGGGAAAGGAAAAAGAAGAAGTCGCATGGTTAGTTTGATTTTTTATCATCGTCGATCAGCTTCGAGACCGATTGAAATAAAATTCTAAACAATGTATAATATTTGAGTGTTGGAACTGAAGTTCGAAGAAAGTAGGGTACCAAAAGTACACAAAGTTCTAAAAAAAAGTTTGGGAGCTATAATGCGCGTATAAAATAATAATGGGTGTTGTTAGTAATTATATTTTCTAATTAATAATTAATTAAATCATTATTACTAATGACCGTCAGATTAGATCAACGGTGTCAGGCATCTGGCGTATACTATACGCCTGACGTACACCAGTATGACCCATATATATATATATATATATTTTTGTGGCGGAGATGAACAACTGCTTTTTGGATGACGGCGGCGCCATTTGACGCGCTGATCGGGGGGGAGCTTGCTGGAGCGCTGGCTTTCGAAGAAGAGGATGCTCTTGCGGAGCGTGTCGTGGTAGCCGCGGGTGGGGGCAACGGCAAGGAGGAGGATGACGGCGGCGCGGCAACGGCAAGGAGGAGGATGACGGCGGCGCGGAACGAAGACATTGCGGTTGCTCCGCCGAAGAAAGGCAAGTGTCGCGGCACAGAGGAACGGCAGCAAGTGGCCGCCTTGCTTCTTTCTTTCTTTAATTGTTCCTTTTTGTTCGAGGCTTACGCATGTTTTCCCCAAATTGAGGAGAGCGTCAGGGACGTCGTTTATGTGCGGTCGAGGAGAAGCAGCTGCGGGAGACGAGTAGTAGAGCTGATTTGGCCGCACTGGGCCTTGGCCATTTCCCCTCCTGGTGTTCGAAGATGCTTGGCACGACTCTGCCCCCGTCTCGGTAATCGCAAGCCTCGATGTCTGTGTCCACTGCTTTTCCTGACAAAGATTGAAAATAGCGATAGCGTGTTTTTGGGAGAAAGGTTGCAGACAGCTGACGGGACAGCTGGACTTCTTTTTTCTCATTGAAGCGCTGGTACCACCTCCAGCCGTAGAAATCCTCATCGGAGCTGCTTCTGACCGTCCTCCATGGATCTTTCTCTGGAGCTACTTCTGGCCATCCTCCATGGGTCTTTCCTTCCCCCTTTTTTGTGTCGAGGTTTCTGCCTCATTTTCTTTATCTCTTTCTTTCTTCCGAAATCAAACGAACGAATGCATCAGTCTGGCCCCACGGTGGGCGCCAATTGTTTGAACCATCTAGCTCCGGTATGAACAATGATATTTGTTGTTGTGGGGTTGACTCACGATCCGTTCGTCTGATCTCGTCGGGAGGGAAAGAACCTTTATATACTCGTAGCGGGTTTAGAGCGTCATACGTTGTCGATCGGACGCGGTATTCCTTAGTCTCTGCGGGCAGCCACTTAGCAACACCCCCAACAATTAGTATTCGTAGTTATCTTCGTTCCTCTAAATATTCTCTTCGTTCTAACTCACTTACGATATCTTTCAACATCGACGACACACGTTACATGAAGGTTCTTCCCGGAGAAATACATCTTACCAATTGTTACGTGAAGGTTCTCACCGGAGAAATACACGTAACAATTTGAGTATTTAATCGAAACCATTATGAATTTAGGGAGGAACCCATGTTTGTTCAAGAAATTTATAGGTACCAAATTCAGGGGTCAACATATTTGGAGTTTATAATTAGGGGTGTTCAAATGGGTTACCATGGTAATAACCAAATCAAATAAGAATAAATTTCGTTAATCATGGAATACAATACCATAACAAAACTCAACAAACTAATATAAAAACCAAATTAACTAAAATAAAATTTAATCGGTATGATTAATTGGTTAACCAATATAGCATACTATTATCATTACGTAAGAAAAAATCTCCTTATAATGCATCAACTTGTAATTGATATAATGAATAAAACATAAAATTAACACAGTTCATCCATGACATAAATAAAAGTAAATAGTACAATTATCTTATAGTCATTAGAAGTAGCCACCAAACAAAAATATATGACAATGGTCATAGTCTCTTAGCAATTATTGGAGGCTGAAAAAGCTCTTCTTTTTCATGTTTTCATCCATCATGATATTTGAGCTTTATCTAAATTAGTGATAAACCTTTATTTGTACATGTTATTTCCCACTAATCTTAAACCGTTTGAGAGTTGATTCTCGCGTTTTAAGACGATTTCATGCTAGGTTGTGCTTTTATGTTATATTTCAGGACCTGGAGCGCAAGGAGGAGAGTTTCGGGTAAAAAACACCGAGAAAACGGAAGGAGGAGTGCAAGGATCAAAATTCCCGGTCTAGTAAACCAAAACCCGGACGATCCACATAGTAGAGACCGGGGAAACGCTGCGGAGATTTTACCCGGTCTGGACACCCAGTTCCCCGACCGGGTAATTCCAGATGGAGACCGGATTTTACCCAATCAGGTGAGCGCCGTTTTGACATTACCCGACCGGTTTGCTTAAAACCCGACCGGGTAATTGGACAGGGTTTTGGAGGAGAACTGTTTGAAGGAAATTCAGGGTTCTTTTCCCATTATTGAAGCTTGAGAGAAAGAATGTAAAAACCTAGAGAGAGAAAGCGACGAACTAACACTACAGGAAAACTAGTTTTCAGTCACGTGATCTTATTCATGGGAAATTTTCCCGTATTAGAAAGTAGGCTAATAGGTACGGGAAAAATTCTCGTAATTGATTATATAGTTCTAATCACGATAATAATTTTATCCATATCTTTATCTTCATTTCCCATTATTAATTGTTAGTCACGATTAATTACCGTGAATAGTGTGACCAGGGGCAGAAGGAGAAGGTTAGTGGGTGGGTCCTGGGACCCACCCTGTCTCGGGAGGAAAAATGTTAAATTAGGTATAATAGTGAATCACATATGAAAAATAAAATGTATTTAAATGAGTGTGGTTGACCTTTCACATATTTGATGTATGATTTATAACTTGTGTATTAACATATTCAATGTTCTTATAACGAGTTATGTACAAATGACAATGATGCATATGATCTGCCTAAAATTAAGGATGTATTTGTTCGATATATAGAACAACTCGAGTTGGTTTTCGTTAGCGGGAAGCGTTAGTAAATACTAAATAATATTAGTCCATTATTAAATCTTTTACAACAGCTCGAGTTATTGACACTAAACGTTCTTGACGAAGAACCCCATTTAAAAGCAAATGTCTAACTAAATCATTTTTTTTTATAATGGTGAATGGAATTAATAACTCAAAGAAACAAAGTCATGGAGGTAAGGTTCTCAAGAGAAGAACCTACCACAAGGCCACGGATCCAAACAACATGAGACGAGAGGAGAAATAAAAGAAAAGAGCAAAGGTAAAAAGGCACAGCCAAGTAGCCGCATCACAGAGGGGTTGCTAAGTGGATCAGGCCACTCCTGCAGACCCAAAAAAAGGCAGAGACAGGGGAGAAACTAAAGAGAGACGATGTTGAATCCCAGCAAGCCATTCCCTCCCCTCAGCCTTAGACGCTTTACCCATAGCAATGGGCCACTCGACCATCGACTTGATCGCTTTGAGGGAGATAGACGTTGGGTTGAGGAGTTTGTCTTGAAAAATTCTTCTGTTGCGTTCGAGCCACAGCTGCCAGAGAATGGCATGTATAGCACCGTAGTTGATCCATCCTTCAAAGTCATCCGGTATGTCAGATTTCCAGCTGTTGATGGAAGATTGAACATCATCTCTAGGTGGCTCAATACTCGGGCAAAGCAATTGACTTCTATGCCAGACCTCCTTACTGAACTCGCAATGAATGAAATGTGAACCGCCGTCTCTTCTTCATGCCTGCAGAGTTCGCACCTATTTGCCAACTGTCGGCCTCTTCTTTTGATGATGTCGAGGGTAAGATTCTTCTCGAGGTACGCCAGCCAGATGAAGGTACATATTTTTGATAGGATGATCGGTTTCCAAATTGCCTTGGCTGGGAAATTGTTGATGCCTGGGAACTGATCTTTCGTTAAAGCCCTGTACATGGAACGCACGGGAAAGGGATGATCCGCGCAAGGTAGCCAAACGAGTCTGCTAGGACCGCTGGACAGCCTTGAAGCGGCGTTAGTCTCAAGAAAAAGCATTAAATCAGCCCGCTCCCGGTCAGCCCCCCCCTCTCAGAGAAAAGTTTAATGGAATTACCCAATTATACTCATTTCCTGAATAAACTCTGCTGCTTGAAACCGTAGCATCAGGATTACTGGTTGCGGCGGCAATGCGGGGAAAGATTCAGACAAAGAGGCTTCAGGAATCCAACGATCGTGCCAGAAAGATGTCCAAGCTCCGCTACCGGGATCAATGCAGGCAAGATTCCAGAAACTGCTGTGCTCTTTCATAATGTTCGCCCACGCGGAGTTGGCGAAACCCCCGTCGACCTTACCGGTATGCCAAAGGGAATGTGGGTTTGGATATTTGATGTTGATGAGTTCTCTCCACCATCTGTTAGTCTCCGTGGCGAATCGCCAATGCCATTTGGAGAGCATGGCGCTGTTGAA